GTAGCCTACCAGAAAAGTCATTGATCACCAGCAGTATGAACTTCGTTAGCCCGTAAAAATCCATGAATTAGCTGCATCATTGTTTAAACCGCAGGGTTCAAACTGTCTGAAAAATGGTTCGAAATAATTCTACATGCTCTACATCTACCAAGTTTAGGTCATAACAAACACCTGGAAAATGTCTCCCTAGGTTAGATCCTTGAAGATTTGTCTTTATTCTTTGGTTTTTCTCACTTACAAAAAAAATGCCAATGATTCACTCTCTGATTTAAGTCTTTAAAAGCGTAATACTGGAGTATCCTAAGAATTTGAACATGTGGTCACATGATATTAAAAAAAAAATTCACAAAGAAGTCCAGACGATCACTCAAGGATATTTTTGCCTGGTCCTGTTAAACTCACAACTGTTTAAAGAAAATCCCTGAGTCTTTGACTCATATTTTACACAAGGACAAAGTAAAGTCAAAACCTCTAATCAAGGACAAAATTATTACAGGAAATACAAAGTCTCTGGCCAAAATATATCTGCAAGGAAATTATTCAAAGCAAAGCTATGAATAAAAATATCTGAGTGCCCTCCAAAGTTGAACTGCAGGTTCAGGTCCACTGAGCTGTTCTTGTCACAACGACTTGGGGATAATCGACAATGACACATGGAATTAACTTTTTCCAAAACTCAGGAGTAAGCAGGTTTGACATTCTAATGGGCCACTTTATTAAGATGTCAGGCAGGGCGTAATGTGTCTGAAATAATTATGACATTTTCAACCGCCGACAGCTTCTGCCTTCTGTTATTTCTGTGACTCTGCCACTGAATGTCATTGACGCAAAAATTGTGATCTGACGCAAAGACGGCTGACATGCACAAGTGTCGAAAATCAGAACCAGAAAGGAGCAGGGTGGGCTGTTCAAAGGAGTCTGATTGGGGAAGAGATTTCACACCATGAGAAGTCACTGGAACAAACGGCCTGGCAGCACGTGGAGGCTACTGCCAAGGTCAATACTTACCTAAATACCTGAAAGCCAACTACTCCTAATGTTTTACAAAATAAAGTAGCTAAAGGGGTGACAGGTGTTTTGTTGAAGCTTTGAATATTTTACATGTTGGTTAGCATAAAAAAATGTTAAAAACTTGCAGACGATGTGGTTGTTTATCATAAAAAGACAACATTCTACATACATATAATTTACACTGAAGAAGTACAGCCAAACGCTGGTGATATGTATGTTATGAAATAACAGAAGACGATTGTTAGTGAAAAATATAGCCAATAACTAGACAAAAGACAATTACAACAAACACTAATAACTAATAATAACGAAGTTGATAAACTAGAAAGTACAAGTCAAAAAACTGAAGAAAAAAAATGACCAATAATCCCATTGTAACTAAACAAAAATTCCCATTGCTCGGTAAACAATAAAACAGTATGTATTTCCCTGAGAGAAAAAAAGATGGGAATGGCTATCTTTCTGTAGATTCAATCAGACAAAATATAATTTTCTTACTAATTATGTGACCCAATATTTGTATTTGTATATTTAAGTATCTATTTATACAGGACAAATCATTAATCATTCTGATCTATACCAAATGTTTAAGTTTATTTTCAGCATTTAATCGTTTGTCTCATTTTATGTTACCACATATAAAACATATTTATTATTTTGGTTCATTTGTGTTTAAATTACAAAGACCAACATATTAGTAAAATATGAAACAGACAAGCCCAAGGTTTACTCCATGATTGGGAAAAACTAATGCTAAATGTTCAATGACCGAGGACTTTGAGGACAGACTACATAGCGTGTTCTTCTACAGGTCAGTGCACACTGACACTGAAACTGCCAGACAAAAAGGGAAACATTGACGTCTAATCTATTTACTGTGCATTTACCTTTACTTTAACAAAGAATGTCAGGTGGCTGTCCCGCAGCTGATAAACCATATTGGATATATTTCCTCCTTTCACCGTTTTTTTATGACATGCTTGAAGTGCTGGCAGGCCGTCATCCACGATACGCCATGGTCTGTAGCCAAAAGAATCCCACACAGTTGATTTGATGGGCTGTTCGAGGGAATAACTCTTTTTTTGCCAATTTTTCCCACATGGTCACCCCTCTCTAGTGGAATTAGCAGGGACCGAAAACAACACAACACACTCAGCAACATGTGGGTGTTGTGTAACTTTGTTTTTGTTCCGTTTGGGCATAACTATAGTTCCGGTATATGGAGTATTCATAATCATACTCATATAATCATCATAATCATAGCTTTAGTAAGGGCACCAAAAAGTGATTAGTGATTAACAGAAAAAAATAACAAAACCTTAGAAAACCAAACTTTAAAACACCTAAACATTGCCTAGTATCCAGAAAAGGCTATTCCTCAAAGATAAAGGTTGGCCAATATTAGCAAGGGTACAGAAAATAGATTGTCAAAAAATACTCAAAACATGTTAATAGAGCCTTAAGTATTTCTTTGTAGCCCTAACCAATGCAAAAAACAATAGAATATTAGCTAAACGTTAAAACAATAATTAAAAACTAGGCTAAATGTCTAAAGAAGCCAATAGGCTTTAAGCTAACTGGACAAAGATTGTACAAAGATGCACAAACATGAATATTTAAATATTTGTGAATGAATAGCTGCAGCATTTTTACTATAAAACAGACTCCACATTTCATAATGAAATTATCAAATAAAAACTGAGGACATTTTATTGGCTCTGTTTTCCTTTCTTAATATTTTCCAGTACAGTCTGCTCAGGTGATATACATCAAATAAAAAATTCAAAATGGTACAAATGGAAGGATGGTAACTATGGAAACTGCTCAAAAAAATCGAGGGTCTGAGGAGAAAATGAATGTCATCTGCTTCCTCTGCAATAAGAAGAGGTTAGTCCTTCCCCTGTTTCTGTTTTATCCAACAGTGTGCCATATTATCATTGTTTCCTGCTAAGCAGAAGCTCCCCTGATACTCCGCAGATAGTGGCATTGAGCAGTACTAGTGCCTTTGCCCCGTTGTCATGGAAACGTTCCCCTGCCCATTACAGAAACAGACACTTCCACATCACTTTGGTAAAGCTTTTGGGAGAATTTTCCTGCCTCTGTGCAAACAGATATTTGTTCAAACTTTAAATCTCCATCTAATATTGCCTGTGTATTTAAACATCGAAGGTTTATGTGTATGCTGAAAAGCTATCCACAAAAAATCAAAATGGCCTTGAAAAGAATATAATATAGCTCCTCAATTTTTCACGACACGTCCATAATTTTCTTTGTTAAACGTGTGGTTAGTATGGACGTCTGGGACACACTTTTTGCCAAGGCTTTTCCATGTTCTACTACATTGTACAAATTAGAGAGATACATTAACTACAGTTGTCTCAGATTAACAATTCAAAATAAGGAAACAAAGCAGCCAAATAAATGTGAAATTATTTAAGTGTAGACAAGTCCATCAAGAGCATTCACGTTATATTTTATAATAATTATAAGATTACATGAAAAATAGCTAAAAGGTAGCATGATTAAACTAAAGATAAGCCAATGTTTAGAAAAACAAAATAATAGATAAGTCAACATCTACTTAAAAATGAAAAAGGTAGCAGAAACTAGGTAATGTTAGCCACAAAACATTGAAATAAGTCAATACAATGTAAATGTTAGCCATAGGATAATGTATTAGTTGGATTAATGCAGATTGGTCTTATTAAAAGGGGCTCAAATGTCATCAAAAATGTCCCAACACTAACAACAAACTAATAAAAGATAGCTAATAACTAATAAAAGTGCTCAAGTTCAAGAACTTAGCACAGTAGTACAAACTTAGCAAAAGGAACAAGTCTATCTGAACTATATATTAGGGCCAAAACAACAGTTAAAAAGTAAATTGTCTTCCCTGCTCTAGGTGAGAAGCTCTAGGAAGACACCAGAAGGCATCACAAACTGTTCTAAACAATTAGATGCTGCTGTTTTATTACAGATGAAAAAAGTAAATGCATAATTTAATCAAACGTACGTTTGTAATTACTTCTCCCCAAGTCAAACTGCTGACTCGGTTCATCAGGTGCACAGTAAAAGTGGCTGCTCACCTCAGCATCCGTGTCCTCCATCACCTAAATGAGGACGGTGATGAGGTTAAGTACAACAGTAGCCTCTGCCTGATTGTTTCCCATATTTAGCTGTTGGGAGACATTATTCAGAAAGGCAAGCTGGGCTTCCATTATTATGCCATCCCCCAACCAACGTAATGAGTCTGTATTAAGGATGATAAAGCCTTGATGGAGCATCCAACATACCTGCTCTGACTTCTCAGATTCCCTCCATTAATTCTAAAAAGGCTTTCCTGAATGCAGCATTTAACTCCAGCAGGCAGGAGATTTTTTTGTTTACTTTGCAGCAAAGACAAAACAGAGAGAGTTTGGGTGTGTGTGCGTTATCCCAAAGTCATCACTTAGCACCAAGAACACTGGTTGCACTTTTATGACACATCATTATGACACTGACTAATTAGTCACCCAGGAATAGGTCGAGCTGGTGTTATCAATAGTGACGAGCACTATCATGGCTGCACCTTTGCAGTGAATACAGGGTGACTCACGATGGATGAGAGTTTCTCGAGGTTGATTTTTTAAATGACTTGTCTCGTGCATGTGACCTTTAATGGCACAGTGATATGCGGCGCGCATTTGTCGAAGGAAAGTGTGGCAGAAACTCATTGTGTTGCCAGTGAGTCTTGAGTTGAGCAAAAAGGTCCTCAAAGTCTTTCAAACTTTGGACCAACCAAAGGATGGTGGGAATTTAATACAAAAGCTTTTCAAAAGCTAAGCTATTCAAATAACACACAGCTTTATGTAGTCATGCATTTAAATATTTAAGCAAAATAAAATAAAATATTTCTAACCTATAAGTTGTCCCTTGAGTCATTCCAAATTAACATCAGTAATATTACATCAGTGCATGACAACGTGAAGGATCACTGTGTGCGAACTCACCTCTACGGGCAGGTCCTGCTGATACAAAAGAGTTGAAGACAGTCCACAGATTTTAGGGACTGGAGATAAACAGCCACCTCCTGTCCTCCCAGAAGGCCCACTCAATTTAGCAGCAGATCAGCAGACTCCTGTTCCTGCCAAAGTACAAAAGAGGATTTAGATTGTAACATCTGTCCCACACAAGTCTGGGGCGAATCTAGGTTTCCTGCAACACTTCTAAAAAATAAATTGCATATGACACTTCAAAGTGAAATAGGCAGAATTTTCTTTAAATAAAAACATTTTTAATATATATATATATATATATCTGTAATTGGTGAGCAAGTTTGTTTCCACACCCTTGATTTAACCTGAAGGTGCTGATATTGTTAATTTATTCATTAAAACTAAACACTTTATTTTGTTTACTTTAAAATGTATTTTTGATTTACTTGTTTTCTATTACTTAATCTTGAATATCTCTAGTCTGTGCACACAACAAGACATGAAAAACATTTTGCGTTTAGAATAAATTATTGATATTTTCAACTATTTTTTGCTGTTGTTCATACATTGGGACCAAGTTGACATGAAAGAATTCCATGAGCCATGTATGGTCTTTACCTGCCCATTGCACTTGAATAAGACATTTTTAAGGCTAAAATGTAACATTTGGGGGGAAAATCAATGTTCTAAACTCACATTACACACTAACGGACACACTAATGGACTCTTTTTATGGTTAATGGTTTCTTTTTTAAATCAAGTAAATAAGTATATTTCAGGAAAATTAAATAACCTTGCAGCTAAAGCTCAATCATACACCATATGCCTCAAAATAACTCAAAAAGATGATGTGTTTATGAGTGCATTTTGTTACGCGAGTGTAAAGCATGAGCAAAAGACACAAATGATGACAAACTGACACAGAGAGAGAAGCGGGTAAATAATAGAGGAAACCATCAATCACATTCCTTTTGTTTTGCTATCTTGCTTAAATGATCAGAAACAATAAAAAAACAGATAATAGATCTGCTGTTATTTCTGTGTACATAATACCAACTTCAGTAAGACAGTTGTGGAGATGAATATTAAATAAGGATGAAAATCTAAGAAATAACCATCTTTGATTTAATATTAACTTGCTGTAAATACTATATTCTGTATAGAATTTACATCAAATAACATATTAAATACAGTACTACACAGTGACAGCTAATGCTATCTAGTCCAGTCTGGTCTATCAACATGAGAAGCTCTTCAAGTCCATTTACATGAATATAAACACCAAGGTAAAAGTGAACTTTGATTGTACTAACCAAACACCTGCAATGAGCAAGCACAATTCTGAAAAGGTTAGAGTTCTAATTCAAAGGTCAGACAAATGGAAACAGGCTACATCACTAAGCTAATACCAAACGTCAATTTCTCAAGAGAACTGACACAGAAAGAGGTTCTGTCCCTTAAACAGTTTGTTCAATCATCATGGAGAAAACTACACTACACTACAAAGTTGCTTTTGATTGGTTATTTTTCGTCTAAATGTCATTTGGAACCATTATAAGCAGAAATTCAGTTCTTCTTGAACTTCTGCTGGGAGAGGTACGTTATTGAGTATTTCCACTTAACTCAGAGATATTAATGACTTGAAATCACTTTATTCATTCAATTACAACTATTCAGTTTGATTATTTTAGTGTAATTTCCATGTAACCCCACATAATCAGAGACAGGGAAAAAGCAATCAGATTGGGAGCACCATGCAGCAGACACAGGCTGGTTAATTGGCTGTCGAGAAGTGGAGCCGAAATAGCACAGGACTCTCGTGATGTGATGTGATATGATGTGATGTGATGAAGAAGGGGAGATTATGGATGTTAGGAATTGAAGTGGCAGCGTGGCGGCTGGTGATGCGTTTGTTGATCTTGTGATTTAGGCTTGTTCAATAATTATTGGAGCAACTAAGAGAACATCCATACACCTTTCACTCTAAAACCTGTGGTGTAATGAAATGTTTTCAATTACACGTTCAGACAGATCAGTGAAATCCAACACTCCACACCAGGGGCCTCAAACTCCAGGCCAAGGGGCCACTTGAATGTATTAGTACCAGTAAAGCATATAAGATTTATATTAAATATATTTTAAAAAAATAATTCAATAGTATTATTATAGCATTGTTTATAGAATTACACATTCATCTATTAAATAAACACCAAACATTTCTTCATCATCAAACACCGATGTCCATCTTATGAAATAATGGGTCAGAGACCTCCCTGGTCCAAACAGACAAGACACACAAGTTCCAGGGAGAAAGCCAAAGATTTGTATATATTTTCTTCCATTTGTTTTGGGTTTTTTCCCATGTCAATAAGAGGTAAAACACTACTTAAAACACAACAAAGACATTAATCCAAGGCAAACCAACGCAGAACCCTGAAGAAAAGAGAACAGAATTTCACCAAGCAATATACTCCTCTCTTGACATTTCTTTTGACAATTACTTATGTAATACAATTGCTTGCCAGCTGGTGGTGGGAAGCAATTTGACAGTTTTATCACAAGTTTGACAAAAGTAATTTACTCGGCTTGGTCCTTTTGTGCTTCTGTGGGAAATAAATCATCCAAATAAAAATAAATAAATGGGGCCCCCACCAGGGTTTGACAGTTCAGTGTCTTCCAACCACAGCACAAACGCTGTCGTCTTCAGCTAGTGTCATAAAAGTGCGAGTTTCCATGGAAGGTGATACATCATCCGGCTGAAGGACTTTTTGGTGGTCCACTGGTGTTTGTACAGCAGCTGGGACTGTAATGTCAGAGCTACATAAAGCTGAACACAGAGCTAAGAGTGATTTGGTTCAAGAAAACACCCAATTGTGTTTGGGTGGATTATTTCTCCTACAGCCTGATAGGAAAATAACGCTTCACCAAACATTGACCCAAGCCCTGGCTAACAATCTAGAGGTTGTTCATGGATGTACAGAACTAATTTAACACCATCTATTGGTAAGTGTACTTTGCTGCAACAATGCAGAGACAGTTCTCAGTTGCAGGGAGTTCATTCATAATTGTCTCAACGTAAATACAATTTTAAAAAAACTCACTGGGTAACAGGACCAGGGAAGAACAAACAACACGGTGGTCTCCAACAGGAACAAGGAGCACAGTAACAACGCACAAGCTGAAGCACCACTGACCAGGCCTGTTGCACATTAAACAAGAAAGGTGTATATACACCGCACTGTCACCAGGTGACAAGAGTGAGACTAACGAACCAATCCAAAACAGTCCAATCACCGGACACAGGTGAGTGTGATGACACTGATAAACCCAGAAACACAGACAGCAGAGATGGGGGACAGACAGACCTTATCAATACTTTTTAAAATGTTGATCCATGATTCTCCTTGATACTTTGAGTCTTTTTTTTTTTTTTTTAATATATGTTTTATTTAAGGCCCTCCTGATACATTTATTTTGGACTCTTTGCAGGGCTTCTGTTTCATTTTATTATATTTTGTTTGAGTATTTATTTGATTTAATGTTGATTATGTTTTTTTAATATATAACTATATATTTGATGTTATTTTTAATGGCAGTTGGTTTGGCTTGTGGGTAAATGGACCTTTGACCTTGGAAAAAGTCTTTGCACATTTGTATTTGAGAAACCATGGGTTAATCCTTTCCTGAGTAGAAGAAGAATAAAAGTAAAAATCAAATATTTAAATAGATTTGATATTAAAATCGAAATATTCAACATAACATCGATATATCTAATATCTAATGTGATACAACTGACCCCTGTATGTACCTTGAATATGCATTTTCCCCATGAATCATCATGATTCATGACCAAAGATAAAACGTTCGCTTTCAAAAACTTGAATCTTGAATCCTACACAGAGTTTCAGACTCAGTCTTCTGTAAAGAGTAAACTTCATTAATTTCAGACAATCAATCACAGCATCTCTGTGTGAACAACCTCCGACGCCCCAAGGATCCAGCTCACTCATCCCGTCGCTACTGCCACAACAATAAGACTGGGCTTTGATGTAATATTGTGAGATTGCATTTAATTATGCCGATTTGACTGTGCGAGGTCATCCCTTCCTGCCTGCTGTCTCAGTATCTTTCAAAAGCATTTTGCTCATATTGGTTTGCCCGTCAACCACCACCGGAATATCAATGCTTGTTTGATCGTATTAAAGCATCATTTGAATGCAGACCCTGAAGTTTGTGTAGGGAGAAACCCGTGCAGAGCAAGCATGCATGGAATCAGAGAAGTCAAGATGTCAGTGGAGCTGGTGGATGGGGAGGAATTCTCTTCAAATACAGATACTAGACTGGAGTGGAATATCAAATGCTCAAAAGTCTCTCTTGGAGTTTTTGAAGCAGGACTAGACAAAGAGGGAACGGAGCTCTCTCTCTTTCAATGGAAGCAAATAGTTGAAATGGCCCACTTCAGGCTTCAACACAAAAGGATTCTGCTCCGCTTGTAACTCAACGAGATCGAGAATCCGATCATTTATTCACGCACAGAAAATGAATGCGAACAGATGTGCCGAACACCTGTGACACAGAGACAACAAGCGTCCTCACTTTTATTTTTTATCTGCAGCACATCCAGCAGGAAACAGAAGGTCCATTATATGCCTACACTTGGCTGCGGTTTAAATGATATACTGCAGCAGAAAATCTGAAACATTATCGTTGGGTATGAATACAGATTAATTAAAGGAGGTTATTCTTAGCACCAAGCCTGACTAATCTTTGCATTTAAATAAACAGCACATTTATGTTTCTCCAGGCGTCGAGATGGCAATCAGGATTACTGCTAATACAGCAGCAATTAGCATTAACACACACAATTGGACGTTAAATGAAAACAGAGCACGTCTTAAGTTAATATGATCTTTTCCACACCGCTCGGGGGGAGAGGGAGGGATGTTGCCTGAAATGTGTCCAATGAGTCACTGCTGGTGGAAATCAATTCATTTAGCCTCACAGAGGTGCAAAATTATTAATTGTCTGTCAGCATGAGCTGTTGGTTCAATCTAGTTCCTGGCTGCAGAAAGAACACAGATTATTGAGAGAAGAAGATGGAAGAGTGTTTCTTTATCTATGCAAATGTGATGTGTTCTTAGAAAACACATTGACAACACGTGTCCTCATATTCACACCTTGTATGACGATGGTACTGCAGTAAATTCTGAATTTAACCTTGGATTAACAGGCTTTTTTATATATATCTAAAACATGCTCACGCCATGCAAAAGCACAAACACTGAGAAAAAAAATCTGTAATAAAGAAAATACAGTACTCTAGAACGCATAAAAAGGGAGTCAAAGTACACTTAAAAGGGATTAAAGGTCATTGAAAGGTTCTATTTAATATGTGCAAAGACTCTCCTTTCTTAAATAAAGCTAGTACCCAAGATAGAGATGAGCTACACTTTGCCACTGCATAAGGTGGCATAGTTTGCTATTTTGAGATGACAAAGATGTATACATAAAACAAAAGGTTAGTGAATCGAGTACAACAAATATCTGACATAAGATCGGTGGTTTTTACAAGATTTAGATAAAAGTCCCACAAGTATTTTTAAAGTGTTCCTAGATATTTTCACTAAGAATGAGATTTACTGAAATATTAAATATTTTCCATGTTCTTAAGGGTTGCCCCTAAAATAATATTTAATCCAGCTCTCTTTGGCCAGATTCCATTTCATAACCAATTGCACAGCTTTGAACCTGTAATGAACATTTGAATGTAATGCTCCTATTTTCTCCACTACCATTATTATGCACCATGCAGTTGTCTTCAATCACAGCTGCCTGATTATACTTTTCACTAAGGTGGAAGGTGTGATTTCATTAAATTGCACACCAACAACGATCAGCTGCCCCAGACCTCAAGGGTTAGAGTGAAGAAAATGTTAATTAAATACAGTTTCAGCTAGATATTATCAAAGAGAAAAGACTTGTGTGGGTGGAACACTCTTGCTCTCCTCTGAGATACGACACCTTAATGTGGTGCCGAGTTTTCTAAGTCAGTGGGAGCTGTGATGTCAGGAGCATTACTTCCTGGTTGGATCTCTCTGGGCAGAAATAGGTTTCAGTGGAAAGGTCAAAGAAAGAGCAACGTACAACAACCTGGTTTCTGTGAAACTGTGTCACTGTGCATGGTTTAAGGAAAGTGGGGCACAGGAGGCAGGCCTGATACAGGAGTTAGCTGAAAGCAGCAAGACCTTGGTCAACAGACCTGAGAAATTATAAATGGAGTCAACACTCTGTGGACCGCCTACCTGCTGGGAGAGGCAGCAGGTTGGACTGTGTGGTAGTCAGGTTAGCAGATAAGAGATGCTTCCTGTGGGAGGTTTTTGGAGGTCTCCTAAAACGTATAAGGTTGTTTTGCATTTTCAAGAACTGAATGTGTGGCAATAGTACCACATGACACTGCGTTTTCTACCCCTAAAGTCTTTACAGCTGCACCACAAATACTCTTCCATGAAATACTGTACATGATTTGGGCCTTTGTGCTTCTGCCATAGCTTTGTTAATGGCCCCTTCAATTCTGTTGTTCCAGTTTGCTTCAACAGCACTCTCCCTACCTATCAAGACAGTTTGGAGTTTTGTCTGTGCACTGTATGAAACTGGTACAGTTTTGTGTTGGTGCAAGATATGTTGTTAGAAGGTACTAGAATACACTGAAATAAATATAACATTCTGGAAATATCTCCAAATCCTGCAGGACATTACTGTGCAGCCAACTTTGTAGATACCGTGAAAAAATTATTACACAATAAAAGACTTATTGTAAACAAAGAGATGCTCTAAACTGTAAACAAAGACTTATTGTAAACAAAGAGATGCTGTAACGATTATCTTGTAAAAAGATTTAAATGTGGTGTTGGTGAAACTGTTCCACATGGATTAGTTTTTATGGCTCATCTTTGATGGGCTGACATTTGCAGCACTGTGGATTCAGAGTTTAGTGTTTGTGGCGCTATTTCAGAATTCATTGCTTGTCCCATCAGAGGTCCAGTGTATCCTTTTTTTTTTTTACATTGAGTTGAACTGAAAACTTGTTCTGCAGTCAAAAACAATTTCCTTAAATCTTTGTTGACTTCTGCTGACCTGCAATTTCATTTGAAGAAAATGAAACAAATACGAGGACGTAGGCGAACTGTTGGGCATGACAAACATTCATGAAACAATATAGCTTTTGTGTTTCAACAAGTTCATCTGAATTTCAAAAACAAAGCACTCAACAAGTTACAGCTGAACTCCGATCCATTTTCAAACTACAAAAAACTGCTTAACGCCATTTATCTGCTGCTGCTGCTAAATGATAATTGTCATTCTTATAGCAGTGACTCACTAACCACTGACACCACTTTAGAAGAGTTGTATCTCTGTATTACTAAAGTGGATACTTTTCTCTCAAAACCATCAATAAACATGAAGATGCACAAAAAATGCACACAAATGCAGCAGCAGCTGTGCATTTAACTAACCATTTCCATTCCAAACACCCAAGGGGGCACCTGTCTTCTTATCTTCCATTCAATTGTCTCCTATAGGCATGCGAGTAGGGGGTGGGGGTAACAATTCAGAGGGCCATTTCGGACATTTGCATGTAATTGGCTATACACATACAGTACACACTTTGTACTGAGGGATTCGCAGAATTAAGAATATATAACAGGCAAAGAGAACAATATCTAGTTTGTGTAGAATTTTTGAATGAGCGGTGGAATAAATGATAAAAATGTGGAATTTTTGAATGAGCGGTGGAATAAATTATAAAAATGTGTATATACATACATGTACGTACATATGTATACGTATACATATATAGGTACACACAGTATATGCAGTGTGTATATGTATTACTTATACATATACACATGTATATATTTACCATATACATGTATGTATATGTGTATATATATCCATATATATATATATATATATGGATATGTGTTTCGTATAAACACTCAGACATACACACAAGCACAGGGCGTACCTCCTAAAATAAGAGGAGGTATGCTTGTTCTTGTATGTTGTTCTGATTCTGGCAAATCAAACAAAAGGTTTAGTGCAGAACCACTGAAGGAATCATTTAACTGGAATTCAGATAGTTTAACAAACTGGCACGTATACCGTGGATTCATGCGCAGTTACATATGAACAAACACAGTTAATGTTAGATTAACCCTCTGAAATTTCCAATACTTACACAATAGCCGGAGTACGATTTTTAACGATTTGACAGTGAGCAAATAAATCATCGCTTGCGAGGCTGTGGATTTGCAGAAGACCTATACTGCCATCTAGTGCTCGAGTTGCACGTGCACATATCAGTGTGGTTTTGCAACAAGAAGTGATGGATGGCCAGTAAAATACAACACTTTATTTTTTGTAAAATAACGCTCCAATATGGTGTAAAAAAGAAACAGTGACACACACAGATAAACACAAAAGAAAAAACAACTTGTACAGCTTTATACATTACCTAAACATAAGTTAACACTTTCATTTTTTAAGCTTCAAAGTAATTTAATCATGTTAACAATGTATATAGACAAGGTCAGGCGTTAGAGACCGAAGCCTTTCTCAGCTCACTTGCTTTCATCAGAGCTTTTATGGCTCTGGCTCTCATCTCCAATTCCAGAAGCTCCAGTTGTTGAATGGACGGCTGACAGGCTCCAGGAGCAGAATCTGCAGCAGGTCTGCCCTGAGCAGGTGTACTGACATCTGCAGACGGAGGAAGAGGAGTTGGAGGAGGCGTGTGCTCTGCAGTGACCTCACTTCCTGCGGTTGATGAAAGGGATAAAATCTCACTGACGCTTTTGTCAATGTCACTCTGAATATCTTTCTTTTTTTCACTCCGAGATGGAGAACCAGGGTTGGATTCAGGCTTCACAGGGTCAGGATTTGCAGTTAGATCTGCAATGTCCCTTGACTTCACTGCTTTTTCTGCAGTTTTAATATTTTGCTCCTCTTTGGGTCCCTCAATGTCACTGTCATAAGTGTCTGCATTTATACTGAGGACATCGCTCTCCTCGCCTGAGGCGGTGCATTCTGCAGAGGACATTAAACAAGTTATAAAAAATTCATATAATGATATTTTATTCTGTCTTTGAGATACAAAATTGACAGATTGAAAATTGTTTTTGTTATTACTATAACACTTTGTAATAACTACCTTGCTTAGGGTCTTCGGTTTTTGCCATTTCTTTGAGGCATGATGTGGAGTCTACATTATTATCTTGCCTAGAAAAAAACAGAATAAGTAACACAGTAATATTTTCAAACAAACTTTCCTGAGGTTAAAAGAACTAAAGACATCTGTTACTCACTGGCCCACTAATATCTCCTCTGGGTTTTTATCATCCTCTTGTAATGTAATGTCTTCTCCTGGACATAAAATTTAAAATGTAAGTTAATAAAAATGCTTGAGTTGGTGAACTAAATCAGACATTAACAAATTTATGCACTTACCTGCAAGTATCTCAAGAAGGTTTTTCTCCGAGATGGGTTCCAGTTGCTCCCAACAAAGTGTTTTGATTTCCTCTAAACTACAATCCTATGTAAACATAAGATAATATGAAGAATCATATTTGGCTGCTGTTTTTTTGGGAGGGGACGGCGGTGGCGAGGGTGTTAGTAAAGCAGACAAATGTTGAATTGATTAGAGGTGTGTCTTTGTTGCAGCTGCCCTTCCCGATGCAACATTATGTACGTTTATGATGACGCAAGAGGATCACGTTGCTGGTAACAATATTTAAAATTTCATTTGCAAACCTCAGAGAAACTGGTAGAAAATATATTGTACATACAGTTCCAACATACCCAAACACAGTAGCTTATTAAAGTGAATTATATTATGATACAGAACCAAAAGACAAACAATCAGCAAAAAAACAAACATCATTAGTCTGTGCCTTTTTAGTTCAACTGTTGACCTTCAGTTATGTTTATAGTTTGTTTTTTTGATTTTTACAAAAGCAAAAGGAATACAGTGCCATTTTAATTTCATGAAAAAACAGAAGAAACAAACAGACAGAATGAGCTGATAAATCACCTTCAGTTCTTCAGGCAGCATCTTGTGCAGCTTCTTCTCCCCCAGCACATGGAAACACTGCTCCAGCATCTCGCGTTTGTTACTCACATAAGCAGTGATGGGCTGAAACAGCAGACTTAGATTCAGTCCTCCCTCTTCCATGTCACTGCTGATCCTGTCCAGCTCTGCATCAGCAAGCTCATTGGAGTCCAGCTGTTCAAAAACAGTAAGCCATTAATTGTTAAATAGAGACAGAAAATTAGAACAAAACCAAAACAAAAAACAAAACAAAAAACAATAATTCTGCATTATTAAATAAATAAATTTGCTATTATATGGGGAATTTAATCTTTAAAGTTATTTTACTTTTCTAAATGTTACTTCATTTCATTTCATATATATATATATATATGAAAGATTGCAAGTGTCTGTATGCTGTGTACAGTGTATAATATAGAAAAGCGCAAATGAACTCTGGCTTCTCTATTAGGTGACTTATTAACCAGCAAAGTCTGCTTTCCAATAAATATTTGCAACAGGAGTACTGCTGTACTCCTATTCTACAACGCTGACTTTTAAGACATTTATAGATAGAGGGAAAAAACATTGAATATTTTAAAAATGTGATGGAAACAACAAAACAAACACAGTGTTGTGTTAAATACATGTACAAATTCCTGTATTTAACTTGATGTGTTGGACAACATTGCTCTAGCCACACTTGTTTCTCACATTGTTGTCGTTTACTTAATTTCTAGTCTGTTCACTTTAATTCTTTACTCGCTTTGACATTTTGTACTTTATACGGGGTAGTGGTGGCTTGGTGGTTAAAAAAAGCGGACATGGCGCCGTCCCCACGCTTAAACTGCCCACTGTTCACTTTGGTGATAGGTTAAAATGAGAGGTCACATTTGGTTGTGTGCAGTGGTGTGTTGTGTCACAATGACAATCTATTCTTAACATTTTACCATTTCAGTAATCGTTTACATTTTACTATTGTGGTTCTTTGCTCTTCATCCTTAAAGAACGGATGTCGCACGGGAAACAAACATCGACATGGTTTAATTCACAGACTCGCTCGCTTAAAACTGCATCACCTAAATTAAACAAACTGGTCATCTTCAAACCTGGTAAAATCATATGGCCTGGAAAAGTGTTTACATAACCATAACAAGGCCATGTGCAGCTCCATACAGGGTGATTATTCATGACAACAAGCATACCCTAGCTTTTCCGTCTGCATCTGTACTCAACTATAAGCTCCAAACTGGACCACTTATAATCAATACATAAAGTAAATGCCTTAACAATATGAACACAGCACAGTGCTGGCATAGTGCTACACTCACCGTCAATTTCGTTACCGCGGGTTTCCGTTCGTCCTTGTCATGTCGTTCCGCTGACCGCGAGCGTTTTCTCTTTTTGTCGCTGCTACTGTGCTTCTTCTTAAGCATTTTTTTTCCGCAAAACTTTTACAATTCCTGCTAGTTCGGATGCCTCTTGGTCCTGTGTCTGTTTGTAGTGTCGCAGAATTATTGCGTCATTACCAAGAGCCACCTCGTAATTCCTCGTTAACCCGGCAGAGAAACAGACTGTTTTATTTACTACTGACACCTGCTGGGTTTTGTTGTTACTGTGAATTTTCAGCTTTAAATTCACGAATTAAATACAAAGACATACATACGTACTTACATACAAAACAGTTCCTTTGTTGTTGTTCTTTCTGCCAGAGAACACTCACAGAAACTATTATAAAACCACAATGAAAAGAAATGTTGCTTGAGGTTAAAAGTCCTGAAGGCCGAGTATCTCATATTCATAATTAAAATAAATTTGACAAAATGTCTTGGTCTTGCCTCAAAGTTTGAAAGGCATTTGTGCAGAAATAAACATACAATTCTAAAATATATGTTGAAAAGCTAATGTGTCTTCACACCCTCTCCTGTTCTGTGATGTCAGCCTGCAGAATCTCAGTGGATGTGAGCCTCCTCAATGCACTGAGATGTCTGACATTTCCCACTTCCCTGTTCTTTGGAATGCACCATTTTGTGTGAAGCCTCAGCAGAGGACCAATCAGCTCACAGGATCCACCTGAACATGTCACATTCAATTGCACACTCAACAAAATCTCAGAGAGAGAAAACAGAAAAGGAAGAAATATGGGTGGGAAAGCCACTGGGTCTTTACACTGATTTGTGTAATCCTCAGAACAAATCCTTCATGCAAATTTAACACTGATTTAGCTAGGAATGTAGATGAAGAGAGTGAAAAAAATCATTGTGCACTACACTCAGGGAAGAGGAAAAGTTTAGCGTCATTCTCTAACGCCAAAATTCAAACTAACATAACTTTTTGTGACACCTGTTCCTTCTTACCACTGCAAGAGTAGATTTTTTTTATATGTATTTTTTGTTGCATATTCATACAGGGCACTGTAAGAATCCAAGGTTGTGCAGAAATCACTGCTGTTCATTCCAGATGTTTCTTTTGAAGCCAAAGGTTACAGTTCAAGTGAGTTGGAAAACCTAACTAAGTAAACAAATTGGCTGCTCACTTCACTACCTGTGCTCCAAGATGCTGGTTTCAAGGTGGCACCGACTGGAGCGAGCTGTAAATCACTCTAATTGGCTTCCACGCCTGTGTCTTCCCCTGAAATAAGGCGGGAGTCGACACTTTGGCTGCCCTGGCGCCATGGCGACAGCTGCCTCCACATAATGCCGGTTGTTATCCTGATGCCATCCGCCAAATTATGCAGTGGATGTGTTGGGAGGTGTGCATCTATCACAATAACGTCACAGTGTTTCCTTTGTAACATCTGCTCCCATGTGAGCGGATATCACCTCGTTAAAAGGGCAATGATGGAGCTGCGACTGCTGGCAATGATGTTGCATTAGGGAGTCATGAAAAACACGTGCACACACATACAAAATCATTGACACACTTTAGTCTGATTGCCTCAATTCTGACATAACGTTAAACTTATCCTAAGTGCGTGACTTTGCAAAAGTTATTGATACGGGATGAGTCTGCTCCAAGCAAAAGTACATTATTTCACACTTCAGTTAGAGTTAGTGTCGATGGTACTAGTAATATAAAATAATTTTATCATTCTACATTTGCCTACAATTGAGTATCTGTAGCAGCAAAGACACCTGAATAACCAAGACGTTTACAGCTCCGGGCTCAAGAGTTCCTGGAAATCCTTCTCATTTAATTTAGCTCAGTTGCATAATGCATGCAGAATGACAAATTACAGTCAGAGGAGACAATGTTCAGTTACAGAAAGTGAGAGGAAACTCTAGGAGAAAGAGATGAGAGTGAGAGAATGAAATGAGAAAACAACACAAATAAAAGCTCTTCAGTCTGATACAAATCAGTGAACCTCAAAAACACTCAATCAGTTTTGTGTTGCTTTCACCAGCAGTATAGAGAAAAAAAGGTTTGGTCATATTTAGGAATGCTGATCAATCTATATTAATCATAATTAATTGTGATTACAGTGATCGACAGAGACCCTGTGATTTATTAGATTAAAATGTTTAAATATGTTTTCGTATAATTTACGATGTGAAATGAATAATATCACTTCACCACAAGATGTTGCTAGAGACTGCAAGGTAAACTTCAAAAGTACCAGTAAATTCTGCTTTAACTCCTGCACCCAGTGTATTAATTGAGCATGCTGCCACTTTAAATCCCAGTGCATTCACTTCTTCCAACATTCTTCACAGATTTGAACACCTTTCATGTGATTTTTCTGTTAGTAATACAGTGCGTGTCGTCGACAGGCGACTGTTTAATCAACACCTGTTCAAAGCCACACTTGTTGACGGTGAGATTTCTTGCAGCCTCAGTGAAAAACCTCTCTCTGCCAAGTCAGACAGCTGATGCATTCGCTCCTTCACTTTATCTACTGGGAAGAAAGGCAGATAGAGTGCATCAAGGCGCTGCCTCGAGGGAGAGCAACATGGAGGTCGGACTAATTTATTTTATAAGCCTTGGTTACATTCAGTATTTTATTTACCCACAGACCTGTTTGATACGAGAAGTGACAGTGATTGACGCTTTGAGTTCATTTTTGATCTACAGTTCACCTACCTGCTACAGTATGATGCAATCAGAGAAGTACTTTCAAAAGCACCCTGCTTGTTATGGGTCAATGGGATGGCTCAATATATATAAATATATATATATATTATATATATACATATATAAAAATGATGGCGATCCACACCTGTGCTGTAGCTGTGGTCATGTTGCTGCAGATGTTCAGGTCCATTCAGCTGTCATCCTTGATGACGCTGCACACACTGAGCTTCAATTACACTGATGCAGCTTTTGAGCAGCAGTGTGATGCTCTTTGCCCATTAATATAAAATTTTTATATATATCGATTTAAAGAGATTTCATGGAAAATGTAACTGAAAGGTTTTAATATATATTTAATTAAGCTCTGGGGCGCAGGTCTTACAGAGAGCAACACAAGCGCGTGTCTGTACGAGAGTGCCAGTTGCAAGCGAGGACAAGTTACATGTATAGTGAGCTGGATACGTTTGTATGTGTGTACAAGAATATGAGTGGGGGTCAGTTGACCTTAGTACCAGGACCATCCCTGGTGGTCTAGTGGTCAGGAATCAGTACTCTCACCGCCACAGCCTGGGTTCGATTCCTGGTCAGGGAACACATTTTTGGGGCAGTGGTGGCTTAGTGGTTAAGGAAGCGGAGTTGGGTCCGGAAGGTTTCAGGTTTGAGTCCACCAGCTGCCAAGTTACCACTGAGGTGCTCTGAGCAAGGCACCGTCCCCACACACTGCTCCCCGGGAAAAACAGAGGTCACATTTTGTTGTTAGCAGTGGTGTGCTGTGTCACAATAACAAGTAGTTCACTTTCCTTTCTTTTCCACCTGTGAGATTGGCCAACAGTAACTTAGAAACAGGGAGTATGTCAATGCAATTGCCAACTTCATCTTACAGTAACTGGAAAACAGATAAGGAGTAGCATCTCCCATCAGTGGCTAGCACACATGAGGTCAGGCTGGTCGTTTCAGTGTTTCAGTACAAGTCCAATGGTGGGATAATTGCACAGTTGATGGATTAAATATATATATACATTTTATGTGGTAAAGAGCTGCACTTGTAACCTAGAAGATAGAGGTTTGGTCTCTGCATCACAATGTATCAATGGTCAATACTTGGGAGCTGGAGTCAGCGTACGTCTGGTTTTAAAAAAACCCAGAGGGAAAACCTCTGCAACATATTCATCTGACATCAACTGCATCACTCCCACTTCATACAAATGATAACGAGGTGAAAACACGCAGCATTAAAAGTTGTTCACTTGTATTACAAGGACGACTAAAGAGACTGGAGGCATCGCTCTCAGTAAGATGAAACGGCTACAAAGAATAACATCCTGAACAACTACAGAAATAAAAGCACGTTGGCCGCAGTCTGGCTAAGTGCTCGCATTTGTCAGTTTTAATTTATCTCCTTTAAAAAATGACTAATCACGGCCCGAGTAATATCACTTAAAAACAATTCTCTTTTCTTCTGGTTCGCTGTTACCAAACAACAATCACCACCACTACAACAACAACAACAGACGCCACCCCCCAACCCCATTCTCTCCCCTCAGTCAGCATGACGCTAACTCAAACATCAATAGTTCTCACTTAAGCAGGACTTTTCTCCATGGTAATGCTACACAGCTGGTTAGAGGACTGTGAAACAAAGACTATGTGTGTGTGTGTGTGTGTGTGCATAATTGTTGGGATAAAGTTAGCAAAGGCTGTCCATTAAAAACCTATTCAATGCATCATAATGATGTGGAGGAGCACTGCAGTTTATCGGTTGGTTAATTAAAGGTGAGGCTGAATTTAAACACACACACACACACACACACACAGGTCCTGTTTTGGGGTCTGTAACTTTAGATTGCTGTAAAATGGTTTGGTTGCCTAAATTGGTCATGTGGTGTTTTAAATTTTAAGTTTTCATAACAGTAGATGCGTGTAGCGTTTAGTACATATTTCCAAATAAAACACTGTACTGAACTGTAGTTAAGTTACTTAAATTAGGTCAAAGTCTATATTCAACAATTACTCACACCAATTTCAGGAGTGCACCAGGTCCGTTACTGAGCCAGTTCCACTTTAAAGAATAAAACTTTATAATCATCAAGTAATACTTCAATGCTTTCTGCTTTACACAAAGCTGTGAAAATACTTGGTGTTAGCTGATACAATCCTAAATAAGATATAAGTATTTAAGAAGATATAAATACTTTGATTGAATGTATATGTTTTCTATATGTGGATTAGCTTCCATCTTCAATACAAGGCTTCAAGGCTCACAGACAGATTCTCAAGTCTTGGTGTGGGGACAGTTCGTTGGTACAGTCAGGTATTGAAGACAGGAGCAGAGTCATAATGCTGAGCCCCCAGGACATGGTGACCACCTATATACGTGAAATGTACATAAGTTCCAGCCATCATCCATGTCTGCACGATGACTCAAATTGGCTCCACAGTTTTGACTAAATGTGAAGTTGTCAAAACTGCTGCTCGTTTAAAGGAGAAAGCCTCGAGTAAGCACTTTGTAACTTGTTGATGTCACAAGGAATTTAATAAATACAGTACCACACACTTCCATCAGTGTAATTTACTGTGGCTGTATAAGGTGATAACCATGTTAATTATATTTTTCTTCTAAGTCTGCCATTCCGGGAATGAGTTTGCCAATGAGCACATGATGGATTCACAAATAAAAATGCAGCGAGTATTCCTGCAACACTAATTAAATTTTAATTTCTGCTCGTAAACAGTATTGACTGACAGAGACACGTCGGGCAGACACACCCCGCGCTCTTCTGATGTTGTTCCGACATAACGGCCAGTGAAACATCAACAATACACTCTACCAACCAGCTGCCATATTCAACAAAGTGCAACCAGCACAATCCTCCAGGATTACAACTTCAGGGTCGGGAATAAATGAACCCAGCTCAAAATTT